GACAGGTGATCTGGGGCTGCACAGAGCAACCTCAGTGCATCGCGCGCGATATCGACCCGAGCAGGCAGGTACTAGACATCTTGGCTACTGTTCCAAACGTAAAGGACACCGACGCTTGAAGCATCGTCTTCTACACCTCCAATGCGGCCTCGGAGGACGACGATACCAAGAAGTACACTCTGCCCGACCTCTCGGACCTCCGCAGCATCGGCTATGTTCCTGACGACGACTCACCAGACATCGATCTTCCTTTGCAGTGACCCCTGAGTCCACCTGAAGAACCTGGAGCACCACCTGACATACCAATGGCGCCGCAGGGGGCTCCCACTATCAAGTCTGAACCACCGTCGAGCCATTCCTCGCCAAAGGTAGGTCAACCGGCAATGAGTGGACCTCCTGGTCCGCCTCGGGCTCCTCCAGCACCGCCTGCAGTTCGAGTGAGTCCAGAGAGGTTCGATATCAGCGATCGAGATATGACGTGGCAAGGAGGAAGCGATACTATCAGCAGCCCCTCAAACATCATGGGACCCCGACCTCCATTTCCTCCAGCTCCTCCAGCACCCCCGGCAGCGCCGAGAATTCAGATTCGGGAACATGAAGTTGACCAGGCGATGCCAGTCGACATCGACGATCACAGCATGGAGGAAGTTGGTGGCACTGGTGGATCACCCGACTTTCCTGGGGCCCCTCCTCCTGCGCCTCCAGCGCCCAAGGCTATTGCGCCAACGCCGAGGGCATCGCTACCCATCGGGGCCCCAGCTGCAGCCCCTATATCGATACCTAAGACGCGGCAGAAGAAGATCGAACGACAGGAGCTCAGCAGGTCACCACCGCGGCAACGGAATGAATCAGGCACTGGAAGTCAAGCAGCATTACCTATCTCTGAACCCTCGGCTTCCTCGTCCTCCGAATCGCCCACACTGGCAGTGCCGCCGATCGAGTCCACCGCGGCAGCCCCCGCGTCATCGAGCTGCCCGGCTAAGACCAGTTCACCGGCACAGACTGCGGATATCCGCATCAAGAAAGAACCAACTCCTGTTCGGATCGACACGCCCGAGGCCGACAAGAGCACCATCGTGCACGACGAGGCCCCTGAAGGCGCATCATAACCAGCACCGACGGTTGACCACGGATCACCCAAGAAGACCGAGGAGGTTGAGCCATCTCCCGTCCAAGTTCAACAGACCGCGAAGAAAGAATATTTGACTCACAACGACGACATCGATATCGCAGGGAGAAAGCTCACACCGTCACAGCCACCTAAGAACAAGAAAGTCAGATTGCGATCATCCTCGGCACCTCCTGATACCGGCAATCGACCATTACCCATCAAGGACGACTCGGGAATGGGATCAGCGGCATCGACCTCGCCACCTAGATTGACGGAGACTGAACGGCCCAAGATATTGGTGGGTTTCGTGACCTTCGGTGATCAGCAGATTGGCAGTGCTCACGTTCAGGACAGGCAGCTGATCAGCGCCTGCATGACTACAGAGGAATTGGACGAGTGCCAGAACATCGTGATGGGCATGGCCCAAGAAGTTTCGGAACACCTACGACATATGCAGACAGCGCGACATCCTGGACAGGGTCGGAGGCCGATTGGATCATGCCAGGCCCGTTCAAAGAGGATCGCACGTTCTACTTCGATCTTCTGACTGGTGAAGCGGTATATGCAGAATCAGATGATGTTCTCACGGAAGCAGATAAGATTGCTCACTGGGACAAGGTCGAGTCAGCCGACAAGGCCGAAGCTCGATCATTCATTGACAATCAGTGCTTCCGCGCGACTCATCAGAACAGTCTGGACACCAACAATATCATTGACGCGACGTGGGTCAGACGCTGGAAGAAGGTCTACAAAGACAAGAACGAAGTCTCCTGGATCACCAAGTTTCGCCTCTGTGGCAGGGGCTTTCTGGGCGCTCAAAAAAAAAGAACGACGCGATGAGACATTCTTCCACGGTTTCCAGACTCTCTCAGAGGAAGATCGCCTCGCTTTTCTCACTAGAAAAGGAGTGGGCCCCGGAGACGTGGGACATACCGACGGCATTTTTAAAAGGCCCATCCTACGAGACACTGCGTCGGAACGCGAAACGCATGGGCATCGAAGTCAGAAAGCAACGCAAGGTATATCTCAAGCCGCCGGCCAACGTTTGGCGCCTCTTTGGAGATTATTCCAAATCTAACATCAGGATTCCCGAGCTTGAGGTACCCTTCTTCTTGTTGCAGCTCCTGAAGCCCATCTATGGCACAGCGGACGCACCAGTCCTAAACCAGCTAGCATTATCATTATCTGCGATGGAAGACCTATCTGGTATCCACTCGGTATTTGCCGATAACTTCTCCATGTGGATCAAGGAAGGTAACATCGTGATGGTCTGGACCGTGCGCGTGGGCGATATCATAGTCCTGGCTAAGACGACGCATGCATGCTGGAGTTTGACCGAGATGGAGAAACGTTTCGGGGAAATCAAGCGTCATTAGCTACCGTTCACCCATATGGACATGAGCCACGAGCAACTACGACTCAGACACTTATTCATTCATCAGGAGAGCTTCGCGGATTCATTGAAACAGATCTTCATCAAACCAGCGCTGACAGACAAGACGGAGAAGGAATGCAACCATCAACAGCAGCACGACTTGAGGAGTGCGCTTTGTAGTTAATTGTGGTTATGTCAGACACGGGAAGACATCTATTGTGAGGTTGTGCAGTTACAGCAACAAGTACGGAAGGCCAACATTGGACATCTTAAACAGGCGAACCTCATCATCGATCGAGTCCAGAGAAATAAGAAGATGGCGGGACTTCATATCGCACCGCTCAAGTCTCCCGTCCGTTCGGTCTCTATCGGTGACGCAAGTCACAGCGGCACAAAGACATCATATCCTCAAGGGGGCACGGCTGTTTGCCTCATGGAGGACCACATGCACGAGCTCAGAGTGAAGACGGATCAAGTTCACCCGGACGATGCCTCCAATATTGGCGGCAACTGTCATACTCAATCGTTGGCCTCATGTAAGGCAAAGCGTATATCACACTCGACATGTCACGCAGAGACAAACGCAGGCTACAAGGTCAAGCAGAGTGCTCAGTTCATAGCCCTCAGACTCACAGAGATGCTTGACGGGCACGTCTTCCTGAGCCGCTTCGAAACTGGGGCCCTTATCATCACCGCTGCCACTCGCCTCAGGATCAGTCTTCTTCTGGGCCTGGGCCGCCAGCTGACTGATCTGACTCTACAACGCAGCCTGCTGTTCCAGCAGCAGGGCAGCAGCCTCATACAGGGGCGTCTCATCAGGAGGCCCTCCACGTCCGCGTCGGACGCTGCTCTGTCAAGACCCACCGAACCCCCTTCGCCCGAATATGACACGACCGTGATTGTTTTGCGCTTCCTCTTGCGATCAGCACAAGAAAATATCAGCATCCCCCAGAATGCTGCGGCCAGCATCGCCAGCACGACCCCGTCGAAACCATCCCCCCCAGCGTTCCAGGATGCTGTCGCACGTGTCTGTAACTCTGGATACCGTCTCCGCTGCTGACCTCCAGGCGTTCATAATGTCGTCGATCAACTCGCCTACCCCGAAAAACTTCCATGCTTTGTAACCGAACAGGCTGCCCAGCCCCACAATACCCACAAACTTGAAGCTGCACACCGCGCCTCTCAAGGTCAGGACATCGCCGCTATCCACTACACGAAAGTTGACCTGGACGAACCCTTTCGCTTCCTGTCTTTCCCGGTATTGCTTCCTGTCTTTTCGCCAGCAAGCCCAGCAATAATAGAGAACCAGGAATCCCCCGCCACGCGCCTGATCAGCTTGATGGAGTCGTCCTCCGCCTCTCCTTCTCGTCCTGGGCCAGCCCCTCGAACGGCGCGAAGTGCCACTTCGTCTCAGGCGAGGATCCGACCGCTGCGAAAATCCTGAACCTGAACTAGTTTGTTCCATGTTTTCCACAACATCTCGAATGAAGGGTGAGGTAATCCTTGAGCGTGGACCGCCGCGACCAGCAGCGAGCGCAGTTCTGGACCTAGATCGACTTCTTGACCGTTATGGTCGCTCACTGTGAACAGCTCGAAACCTGCGCGGAAATCCTTCCCGTCGAGAGTGTCGCCTTCCTCGAGCCAGTTGTCCTCGTCAGTCTCTGACTCGACCAGCAGCCAGGGCGGCCGCTCGTTGAAGACCAGCACCAGCAAGGTCGACAGTCGACAGCAGACAGAATCGGCTCGTGATTGCGAAGTCCCTACTCCCTCGCCAGAAAACCGAGAGAGCTCAAAGGCGCCTCCTGCTGAGCTTGAGCCTCCACGGGTATGGGGAACAGACGGCCAGGAGAACCAGACACGAAACTAAGCTACATACGGTTTGCAGTGTGTATGTGTGTGTATATATATATATATATTGTGCATATGTATATAGATGGTATAATTGCATATGTACGTATATGTAAACATGTGACTTGCATGTGTATGTGTGTATACAAATTTATGCATACATCGATGGAATCGTGTATCTCTCTCTATATATATACTCCCGACTATCCAATATGTCTACATGGTTGCTGGATGTTCGTATTGCCCTCCACTGCCCATGTGAATGTTCCTTGGCATATCTGCTGAGTTGTGTTTATGTCTAGCTTTCCCTCCCGACCCTGGTGCACTCCGCGCGTCAGGGTGGGACGTCTAGCGCCGTTCTAAGAAATCCGCGCGGACCTTTGAAAATTGATGCTCATGTCTTTTGCACAAACCCCCGAGGTCGCGAATCTTGCATGAGGTCTCGACCCAGTCCCCAGGACCAAATTTTCACTCTGGATCGACTAAGGATGAAGAGCCGGGCGTTGTTTGACGGTCCTGGGGCTGGGCCCTTTGCGGCCGAAAACGGGCAACCCCCCCCCCCCGCCGTGACGACTCCACGACGCGAACAATGTCCGGCCAAGCACGCCTGCCTATTTCTCTCTGAGGGGCACCCCTCCAGCCGCTTCTGCGCCAGGTGAGGGGCACCCCTCCAGCCGCTTCTGCGCCAGGTACGCCGCGAGGCGCTCCCCGGGGGGCACCTCCAGCAGCCGCAGCCACCGCTCGCTCGCCATGGACATCCGCAGGAACGCCGGCTCCGCGGTGCACTTCAGGGACGCGAGGGTGACCTCCGCATGCGGCCCGAACAGCGCCTCCACCGTCCTGCACAGCCCGGCCTGGTTCGGGAGGTTGTCCTATAGGGTGCGCCGCAGGGAGGGAGGAGGAGGAGGAGGAGGAGAGGAGGAGGAGGAGGAGGAGGAGGGAGGAGGAGGAGGAGGAGGAGGAGAAGATGGAGGAGGAGGAGGAGGGAGGAGGAGGAGGAGGAGGAGGAGGAGGAGGAGGAGGAGGAGAGGAGGAAGGAGGAGGAGGATTAGGAGGATGGGAGGAAGAGGGGAGAGGAGGAGGAGGAGGATGGAGGAGGAGGGAGGAGGAGGAGGAGGAGGGGAGGAGGAGGATGAGGAGGAGGAGGAGGAGGAGAGAGGGAGGAGGAGGAAGGAGGGAGAGGAGGAGGAGGAGGAGGAGGATGAGGAGGAGGGATGAGGAGGAGGAGGAGGAGGAGAGGGGAGGAGGAGGAGGAGGAGGAGGAGGAGGAGGAGGAGGGAGGAGGAGGAGGAGGAGGAGGAGGAGGAGGAGGAGGAGGAGGAAGAGGAGGAGGAGGAGGATATGGAGGATAGGAGGAGGGAGGGAGGGAGGGAGGGAGGAAGAGGACCCTGAGCCCCTCGCGCCGTGGAGGAATCGCGGCAGACGTTTCTGGTGCGCTGCTGCTTTCGGCCCCTGGGGGCCCTCTTGCCAAGCCCTGGGAACGTCAAACGACGACTCGGGGTCAAGAGCCGGCCCCGGGGAACGGATCACGAGGGATGGGTTCGGGAGGTTATTTTTGGTGTGCTACTATTTTCGGCCTCTGGGGGCCCTTAGGAACGTCGAACGACGACTCGGGACCAAAAGCCGGCCCCAGGGAACGGATCACGAGGGCTGGGTTCGGGAGGTTGTCCTCGGCTGCGCCGACGCCCCTGAGATCTGGTCGTTGCAATTGCTCCGCACTGGGCGGCTCCGCCCAGGCCCCGCCCCGGGGCCGTCACAGATCGATGGGGCTCGAGAATAATGGCGCAGCGAGATGGTGTCTGGGGCTCCGGTTGCGACTTTTCGCGACGTCGCACTTCTACGACGTCCGATCTGAAAGGGGGGGTCAGCCCACTATATGGACCAGGGCACATGCGTGGAAGTTTGGGGGGGCAGGGGCTGCACTGAGAGGAAGTGGAGGCCACCTCTCCTATAGTCCTCACCCCCATCTTCCCAGACGTGCGATGTCCTGTTCTCTTCAGTGCGGGGGCACCGGAAGTCCCGACCCTCTCCCCGGGACCGGCTCCCGGCCCAGCAGCGGCCCCCCCAGAGCCCGAAAACGACGAGAAACCGCCGCCCTGAGTCTTCCAAGGCGTTGCATGTCTGGGTTGGACGCCCCCGACGCCCAGCAGGGGGATGTTCGACGAAAAATAAAAAGTACCCCCAAAATGCCCGAAAAGGTTAAAAAAACTCAACAATAGTCCCCATTCGATTTTTGGACTATCTTTTAACTCTTTTGGCCGTCGAAAATCCCCCTGTAGGGGGACAGGCCCGACTTAAAACGACCACACACGCGCCAGAGCTTCGTGCTCCGAGCGCGCTCCGCCGCCCGCGGCCTCATCCCCACCCCTCGCGCCCACATCATGCCCCCTCGCCTGCAGTGCCCGACTGCTGGGCCCCGCAGTGTCCCTCGGCTGCCTCCGCCCGCGGCTCCTCCTCCTCCTCCTCCTCCTCCTCCTCCTCCTCCTCCTCCTCCTCCTCCTTCTCCCTCCTCCTCCTCCTCCTCCTCCTCCTCCTCCTCCTCCTCCTCCTCCTCCTCCTGTCAGGGAAGTCCCTTCATTAACTTGTCCAGAACTAGAATCCTTAGCAGAGCCTAGTGTGACTCGTACGGGGACGCCTCCAGCGTATTACACCCCACCCCTACCAATTTTTTACAACATTTAACGTGTCTTGGAATCCTCTTCTTGTAATCTCAATGTTTTAGGAACTCCCCCTCCCCCTGACCCTCCTCCTCCTCCTCTCTCCTCCTTTCTCCTCCTCATACTCCTCCTCTCCTCCTCCTCCTCCTCCCTCCTCCTCCTCCCCTCCTTCCTCCTCCTCCTCCTCTCCTCCTCCCTCCTCCCTCCCTCCTCCCTCCCTCCCTCCCTCCTCCTCCTCCCTCCTCCCTCCATCCCTCCCCCTCTCCTCCCTCCCTCCCCTCCTCCCTCCCTCCCTCCCTCTCTCCCTCCACCTCCTCCACCTCCTCCTCCTCCTCCTCTTCCTCCTCTTCCTCCTCCTCCTCCTCCTCCTCCTCCTCCTCCTCCTCCTCCTCCTCCTCCTCCTCCTCCCCCTCCTCCTCTAGCTGTTTCTCAACCAAGCCAGATCGGATCGGAGGGACCCTGAAATCCTGGCGTTGCATTTTTCACAACGCGCGGCTTCACCACAAACAGTCTGGGCCGCACGCCCCCGACGTCCAGGGTCTGCCGTCGGGGCTCTCGACGGCCTCCCGGGGACGCTCTCTGACCTCTCCCCTAGAGCCCAGAAGCGCGCCGCTGCGTCCGGGTTGCGCGCCCCCGATGTCCAAGAACGACCCCACCACGCAGATCCTCGCCCGGGCAGCCTTGGCCGGCCGCCCGGGCGTCGGGCGGCGCTGGTGCGTCGGGTCCCCCGGCGCCTCGCCGTCCTCGGAAGGACAAGAGGCGGCATCCACGCAGAAAGCTTCGGAGCTCCGCACAGATTTCTCGGATCGGCGCTGGGCGCCCCTGGCGGGGCCTCCCGCGCCGCCCCCGGGGCGCTCCGCGCGCCGGGGAGGGGGGGCCCAGCGCCGATACAAGAAGTCCGCGCGAAGCTCCAAAAGTTTCTGCTCACCTGCTGGGTGTTCTTCCTCGAATCCTGGCTCCCCGCGGCGCCGTCCTCGTCGTCCGCGGCGTCGTCGCTGTCGTCCCCGCGGTCCCGCGCGGGGCAGCGCCCGCTCCCCGTCGGCGCCGAAGCGTCCGCACCCTCGCCGTCGAGCTCACCGAAGCGCCCCTGGACCAGGCGCAGCGCCTGTTCAGCATCGCTTACTCCAGATTTCGTAATAAAAGGGAGGGGGTCTGGACCCTCCAAGACAAGCCATTTCAGACCTCCTCCGTGGGAGAACCCTCCAAAACATCGTCCCCAGACCCCCCAGGCCCTCCAAGATAGCCTGGAAGAGACCCCCCCCCCCCGAAATGAGACCCCCCTCCCTTTATTACGAAATCTGGAGTAAACGATCCCCATGCCCATCCCAGACATGCTCGAGTCGTGGCAAAAAATCAGGACGGGAGGTTTTGCCGTTTTCGGCCCCTGGCGGCCCTCGCCAGGCCCTGGGACCGTCGAATAACTATTCAGGATGAAAAAACTGGCCCCGAGGAATGGGTCGGCACTTCCAGAGGGGCCCTGTACTGCAGGACTCAGGACATCGCATGCCTGGGACCCCCATCCCCATCCCATCCCACCACCCCAGCCGGGGACGTGCCCCTCGACACCCGCAGGGCACAGCCCAGATCCCCCCCCACCCAGCGGGGGCAAACAACAGTGGCCCGGTGGGGCCCAGGCCGCGCGAGTGGGAGTGGGATGATGAGAAAGAGGAGAAGAAGCAGATGGAGGAGGAAGAGGAGGAGGAGGAGGAGAAAGAGGAGAAAGAGGAGGCGGAGGAGAAGGAGGAATTCAATTCAGGAAACGCACACCATCTCTGGTAAAATATTTACAGTGCGAATAGTTTTCCAGTCGTAGCTATGGTTGCACAATGGCCAGTCGATGCGCACCTTCAGCACCCGCGTCTCCACGGAGAGCGGCTCGAACGGCGGCAGCGGGGCCGCGAGGCGGCCTCTCTTGACGGAGGAGGGGGCGCGCTGAGCCCGCCAGCCCTGACTCCAGATCCGCCCTACTTTGGCTTTCTCCCAACTTAAAACTGCGTCGGAAATCCACCTATAAGGAGCCGAAGAAGTAGGGCGGAAACTTCTGCACCCAACAGAGAGTAGGGGGGAAGTCCACAGAAGTAGGGCGGAAACAGCAGCAGCAAGGTAGAGCGGAAATTGGCATCAGCGGGGCTTGAAAAGTAAGGCGGAAATTCCAAGCCCTATACCTACGAACTTCCCCAAAGTAGGGCGGATCCGGAGTCAGGGGGGGGGCGGCGCCGGAGGCCCAGCGCAGAGCCAGGGAGTGCGCGCGGGCCTCCGAGGGGAGGGGGGGGGGGGAGCAGCACCGACGGCACGCCGCCGTGGGGGGGGCCCATCGGCGTGCTGCTGTCGTCGCACGGAGGCATTGGCATGGAGGAGCAGACCGCCGACGGGCTCCGCAAGCGGCAGCGTGCCACCAGTTACTAGGGGAACAAAAAGTGGCATGAACATGAAAACTCGGAGGTCCGCGCGGATTTCTCGGATCGGCGCTGGACCCCCCTCCGTGGCGCGCGGAGCGCGCCAGGGGCGGCGCCGGAGGCGCCGCCGGGTGGCCCCAGCGCCGATCCGAGAAATCCGCGCGGACCTCCGAGTTTTCATGTTTGTCACTTTTTGTTCCCCTAGTTACAGCTGTTCCCCTCCCTGCGCACGTCGATGCTTGTGCTCGGGGGGAACAGAGAAAAAACAGTGCCGATGCCACCACTCCAGGGGCGCGTGCCGACCAGGCCTTGGAGGCGACTCCAGCCGCGGCGACGCGGGTCGGCCGGCGGTGCCAGGACCTGTTCCTCCTCTGCGCGCCGCTGGTTCCTCCTCCGGGCCTCCCCGCGCGGAGGGGGCGAGGTAGACCGAGACCAGCTTCTCCAGCCCGGCCTCCGACCGGAGGGCGCTCAGGTGCGGGTTGCCCGCGAGGAACGCCCGCAGCGTCCCCAGCAGCGAGGCCTCCGCCGCACTGCCGCCGACCGGCTCCCCGCGCGCCTCCTGGGCGTCCAGGTACTCCGCCAGCACCAGCTGCGCGTGGGTCCGCGCGGCGTGCGGCATGGCCAGGCTCCACCCGACGACCGCCCCGAGGAGCCTCTCCCGCCACGCCGCCGGCAGCAGCGCCTGCTCCGCCGCCGCGCCGCCGACGAGGAGGTGCGCCGCCACGATGATGGAGCTCACCGCGAGGCGGAACTGCGTGGCGGGCGCGCGGAGGGTGGCGAGCAGCAGCGGCAGCGTGGCGCCCGCGTCGGGGTGCAGCGCGCAGGCCGTCGCCCACGCGTTCTGCACGAGGACGCGGGTCTTCGGCACCACGCGGGCGCTCCGCAGCTCGAGCACGGCGGCGTTGGCGATGGCCTCCGCAGTGGCGGCGTCGACCTGCGGCAGCAGCGCCACCAGCAGCCACCACTGCCGCACGCGCTGGAGCTGCGCCGCGCTCCCGTCGTGGCCCTCGGGCGTGTCGTTGCGGAGCACGTGCTTGAGCACCGAGGCCGCCAGCGCGACGCCGCTGACCCGCCGCGCCCCGGGCAGGTCGGGGTGCGACGTGCAGGCCAGGATGGCCGCCGGATGCTGCGCGTCCAGCGCGCAGGCCGTCGGCGCCGGGGCGAACAGCGCCAGCACGGCCAGGGGCTCCGGGTCCCCCACGGTGCCCCAGGCCGCCTGGGTCAGCTGCGACGCGACGATGGACGACGCCGGCACCAGCTCGTCCCACAGGCCGTCCAGCCCCTCCAGCACGTCCTCCCGCTTCACCGCCGCGCGGAAGAACGCCCCGTACATCGTGCGGCTCCCGGAGAACTTCGCCGGGTACCGCCGCACCACGCCCCACGCCGCCACGACGAGGTCCTGCAGCAGGCCGCTCCGCAGCGGCGCCGGGAGCCCGGCGTCCTCTCCTGCCAGCGCCGCGCAGCACTCCTCCACCACCTGAGCGCCGAAAAGGCACGGGTCTTGCGCGGCCTGACGCGGTGGCTTCCGTGGGCCGCCGGAGTGGCACGCTACATTGGAAACGAGGGCGCTCAGGCGCGACCAGCAGTCGAACCCGTTTTGCGGCGCTGCTCACCTGCATCAGCTCCACCACCCCAGCCATGATGAGCCCCGCCTCCCCCTGCTTCTTCGGCTTCCTCTGCCTCTTCCCGGGGGCGGCGGGCGCCGGCGGCGGCGGCGCCGCCGCCGCCGCCGCCGCATCGCCGTCGGGGGGGGCCCCGTAGTGCACCAACGCCACGCCGCGCACCCACTCCACCGCCTTTGCCAGCGCCTCTCCGCGCTGCGCGCGGGGCAGCGCCGGCACGATGGCGGCCACCGCGGCGGCGAGGAGGCGCAGCCGCTGCCTGGCCTCGCCCGCCAGCGGCACCGCTGCGTCGCAGCACCAGGCCAGCACCGTGCCGGCGTCCGGGTGGGCCGCCCAAACGCGGGGCGGGATGCTCAGGCACACGCCCAGGGCGCGGCTGGGGTCCGCCGGCAGCGCCGCCGCGGCCCTCCGCGCGGCCGCGTTGGCCACCGCTGGGCACGCCTCGGCCAGGGCCAGGAAGTCGCACAGCACCGGCTCGGGCACCACGGGCTCGGGGGCGTCGTCGAGCACCGCCGCGGTGATCGGCGCGGCCAGAAACTCGAGCCCCCAGACCGACACCGAGTCCGCCCCGGGCCCCTCATGCGCGGGAGGCACTTGCGCACCAACGCCGTACCTGGCCAGAGCCATCCTGAGCCCTGACCTTACACCCTCCTGGCCGAGGCCAGGAGGGTGTAAGGTCAGGAGGGTTTGTTTAGCGTGTCGCGGTGGCGGCACTGGCGACACTCTGTGCCCTGCGAGCGGATAGCGCGTCGCTCCGCCCCGCAGGGCGGGAGGCCGGGAAAAGATCGGGACGTGGACGCTTGGGACTGGGACGTGGTCATCGTTTCGCGCCGCGGCGCGCTGGGCCAGAACCGGCAGCGCGACAGGCGAAGCCGAAGTTCCTGGCCGTATGCGTGGGGCAAGCACGCGACCACAACCGCATCGGGGTCGCACCCTGGGGGATGTCCTGCGCATGCCAGCAGTCGTCAGAACACCGAAACCAGCGAAGTCCTGGTTGCTGTCGATGCGAGCGTTCCAGGGCTGCCACATCGACCACAACCACAACCAAGATTCTAAGATGTTCGTTCGTGTCGAGGTCGGTGGGTTCTCCCCCGAGTGGCCGTCCAGAAACTACACCTACTCCTGGTTGTGCGCTTGTCCGGGATGCACCGCCCTGGGGCCCAGGATGGATCTGGTCAGGTACGGCGGTGGTGCATCCCCCGACCTGCACCTTCCACACCTGCCGAGCGGAAGGCGCAGCCGGCGGCCGCCGCGGCCGCCTCTGCGGCCTCCACGGTGGCCGCGGCAGCGCGGCACCCTCCGCGCGCAAGGCGCGGAAGGTGCGGGTCGAGGGACGGATGCCTGCTGCGCACCTCGCGGGTGGTGTTCGGCCCGCCGGCGCCGACGTCGGCCGTGGCGGCCGCGACCGCGGCGGCGAAGGCCACGGGCTCGAAGGCGCCGCCGCCTGGGCGGATGCGCCGTGCGAAGGCCTTCGGGTGGACCTGCGAGTACAGCGCAGAGGCGAGCTTCGCCGCCGCGGCGTCGGCCAAGCCGCATGGGCGGGGGAAGAAGAGCGCCGCACAGCCACGGAGGCCTTGGAGGCCCGCGCAGCTTGTCCCGGCTCGGCGCTGGGCCGCCCCCCCTCCCTGTCGGGGGGACGTAAGACCCGGGCACAGGGGACTCGGAAATCCCCGACGAGGTCGTCAAAAAAATGACGAGGCCGAGCCTGCATTTTGACGAGGCCTCCCGCTGCAGACATCCCACGAAACTCCTACTCGTCAAAATATGAGTCGCGGTCGTCAAAAAACGATGGCGAACCCGAGTCCTGGCAAACCCGGGTCTTACGCTCCCCCGACCCTGGCGCGCGGAGCGTGCCAGGGCTCTGGCGCCGCCGGGGCGACCCAGCGCCGATGCAAGAAATCCGCGCCTCCGCGCGCCACTGCAGGGACCCCCCTTGGCGGCTCCGCGCGCAAGGGAGGGGGTCCCCGGCGCCGATCCGAGAACTGCGCGCGGAGCTCTCCGAAAGTGCTTGCGGAGCATGCAGCTTCTTCTTCTCCGGATGGGGTGCGGGTGCACGCCGCCTCCACGTAGGCCTCCCTCGCGAGGGGCAACGTTAGGGGGGGACGGGCTCGGGGTGGGGAGCATCGGCGCTGCATCGCCGAAGAATTGGCGACAGGCCTACGATGGCGAACCCACGCGTTCCTGGGTGGGGTGGGCAACGGGGCTTCTATCGGTGACGAGTGGACGACTTGGCGTCGAGGCGCTCCCCCTGAGCCTGGTCGTCTGGTCTTCGGGCCATGACCCGGGCCTCCAGCGGCCATGCGCGACGATTCCAGCACCTCTGGAACGCTCTCGGCAAGGCGCAGCCGCTGGAAGGCATCCCGAGGCTGGGGCCCTCGACGAGGCGCAGCCGACGGAAGGCACTCCGAGGGTGAAGAGCCGTCGAGAACCGACGAGAACGTTCGAACAGCTCGAACCTCGCAGCTACGATGTTCCCCCTAAGCTTTTCGGGCCAAGTAGCTCGGGCATCCAGCGGACGTTCGATTCTGGCACCCCTGGAACACTCTCGACGAGGCGCAGCAGACGATAACCTTCCCAGGCCACGAAAATCTCCGACAGCCTCAGAAAAAAAAAAACTGTCGAAGCGTCACCCCTGAGCCTACGGTCAGGAACTTCTGCTTGGCGTGATGCGGCGGCGGCGGCCTTGGCGACACGCTGTGCCCTGCGAGCTGATAGCCTGCCACTCCGTTTCGCGGGGCAGGAAGCTAAGCAAAGCTCCGTATGTCGGTACGTCGGCGCTCGGGGACTCGGGGGTTTCAAGGTGTCGCGCCGAATGGACGTGGGCGAGGACTCGCGGGCCGACACGCCAACCAGAAACTCCCGACAACATTCCGCCCGGAGGAGGAGAAGGGGAGGAGGAGGAGAAGGAGGAGGCGGAGGAGGAGGAGGAGGCGGAGGAGGAGGCGGAGGAGGAGGAGGAGGATGAGGATGAGGAGGGAGGATGAGGAGGAGGAGGAGGAGGAGGAGGAGGAGGAGGGGGAGGAGGAGGAGGAGGGGGAGGAGGAGAAGGAGGAGGAGGAGAAGGAGGAGGAGGTGGGAGGGGGAGGAGGGTGCGAGCGAGCGAGCCAGCGGAGGTGCAGGCGAGTCACTCGCACCAAGCTGAGGAGAAAGGGTCTGGAAGATGGCCTCCCAACTCGAGTTGGGCCACACGCAGGAGGCACATCGCCGCCTCCAGAGTCGGCAGCCTCTCGGTCCAGGGCGCCGCGACGAGAGCCCAGGACAGGAGGGCACCGACAGGAGCGTGACGCTTCCGCGAGGGGGTAAGGACGGCGCGCGCCCCAGCCCTGCCGGGACGGCCCAACCGAAGCCCCAAGAACCCCAGGAGCGGGACCGACGTCAGGCCAGAGTCCCAAAGGGACCCAACTGGGCCATACAGCATTGCGAGCCGAACCCAGCGACCAAGAAGGTGCATCACCGGGCGGCAGCCAGAACGTCCGCGTGGGAGCGCCGTGCAGGCCGAGCATTGCGAGAGGAGCACTAACGAATCACAAGTACTCAGGCAATCAGAGAGCCGATACTACGGGCGGCTCTATTGTCGATGACGTTTAGTCTTGCTCCTGCTACTGTGGCTGGACTGGGGTTGTACACAAAAGCCTGCCGCAGGTGCTGCACTCTTGATGTAATTATTGGGAGAGCGAATCGTGTCAAAGTCGCGGGCCGCATCGGCAACGATGCTAGCGGCCGACACGGGGCGAGCACTCTGCATGGCCATCAGAGCCCCGATGGCGTCGTCATCCAGAGGCTTGGACCGAGAAAGCCCTGGTTGACACACTCGGTGCTGCCACCACCCTCTGCGTCCAAGATCTGACCGCCCGTCTCGACCTCCTGCAGATCGTAGGCCTCTTTGAACGTGACGGTAACCAGCACTCCTTTAATGTCCTCCGTGGACTCCAGGAGGACACATTCTACATAAGTTGACGCCCAACTTGGTCAGCTTGCAGATGGCGTCAGTATCCTTCTGCGGAACAGCTAGGATGGACTTCGAACTTACGTCCGAGGTGCTGTCGGTGCTGCTAGGATTGTCCCCTGTACCTCCTCTCAGCCGCAGGCTGCGCAGGCCACCAACCTGCGCTTCAGGAGCTGCTCGCACAAGCGCTCCAGCTTCTTGGCCTCTTCGCCCAGGCTCTGACGAGTCGTCGGTGCTGACGTAACCGTCAGCTCGCTGACCTCTTCGCCCAGATCCGAGACACTCTCGGTGCTGCCGTGCGTCGCCTGGGGCCGGGGCGCCTCGCAGCACCGAGCCTCGCCCGCAGGCGCCTCGGCAGCCGACGCTGGGGCCTCAGCGGTGGCGTCGGACTCTGGCAGCGAGTTGGCATGGCACCCCGCAGCAACTCCTGTGAAGCTGCAGCGGGTCAGACATTCTCCGACTCGTTCGCAATACGTATCTGGCGGGCCTCTCCCGTAGCTCCTTCGAAGCTCTTGGGAGCTTTGCGGGGAGCTCCTTCGGAGCTATCTCTGGGCTCCTGCGGAGCTCCTTCCTCGAGCTTGGAAGATCCTTCCAAGCGCTCTTGCAAGCGTCCTCAACTCCATCCCCGGATGCCTCTCTGAGAAGGATTCACATCAGAAGCCGGCGGCGCAGGGTGGCCCGGGAGCTCTCGGCGCCGGTCAAGC